AACACGAGTCTCTATAAGTGTCTAGGTTTAGGGTCTTACATAGAATTATACCAAACAACATGAATCAAACATGCAYTTTATTTATTTACACTAAATGTCAAAAGTACATCAAATCGGATTGAAGCTAAGGGCATACAAAACTGTCTAACACTCTTCCCATTCTTGATATTGCTTCCTACGGGCCTCAGAAGCCCAATTACCTGGACGATCTGGAGTAGGGTTTTTAGCAACCTTGTCCAATTTCTCGGACGTTAATACTAGCATAAGGTTACGGAACCAGTTAGCATGGTTTGGGCCCTTAAGCTTGTTGTTGTCCAATAATTTGGCGAACTATCTGTTTACCTTTTTTGATAAAGGCAAAGCAGATTATTAATCCAAAGCTTAAATTGATTCATGTTTAACTACATAGAAATGGATTTTAATCTATGTTCCATTTCCATTTATTCATCTCTGAGATTTCCCTCTTATCTCAGTGACGGAGACCGCAGTTATGTCTCTAGAAATGTGGGAAACCACATACAGTGCACGGAGCCAATTGTTTCAGCTGCATAACCCCACCACCTTCTGTGAAGGATCATATCCACTCATCTTATGAGCTTTTCCTTTGGCCTCAGTCAGACAAGGTTCATTGTCATTTTAGGTTAAACCTTTCTGTCTAGTAAATGTTTACCCATCATATTTGTGAACGCCAATATACCGTGAGAGAGCCTTCCATTTTAGGATAGGCCCCTCCTACATTGGTCTATGACGCCCCTATCATCTTATGAAATAATCCAACAGACTCACCAGCAAATGGATAGCCCAATTTTATGGTGCATCTCCTCGTTACTGATAAGTCCATCTTCATGCTAATGATGGAAGGCCTTTAGAGAGTTCATCATATGAATCTCCCATTGACTTTCTTAAAGTCAATGGGAGTAATTATGCCTTAGTTCTTTATTTAGGTCAAACCAAAGTGGCTCCCATTGACTTTAAGAAAGTCAATGGGAGTAATTATGCCTTAGTTCTTTATTTAGTTCAAACCAAAGTGGCTCCCATTGACTTTCTTAAAGTCAGATTCAAATGGATCCTAAACGGGCTAGGGTTCCGCATGGTTTCTCTTGGGGAGGAAGCTGATATGGGGCTCATTAAGAAGGGAGATCATCCAATGATTTTAAGGACACCATGGCAATGATGTGCATTCAGACATGGCGTGTGAAAGAGCCACTAGGGAATTAACATGGGCTAAGTGCTTATGGCCCACGTACATAGCACATCACATGCATGAAACAATCACATAATTGATCCAATCAATTAAATCAAATGTAAAACCCTAAATTAATTCATGTTAAATCAATATCAGCCCATTAAAGCCCATAATATTATCTAATAACGTTACCTAGGTATATGGCCTAAACTGCATAAGGCAGTTCGACCCATATAGCAATTATGTTGTAAATGGGCTAATGCAGTTTTAACTTGTCAAAACTAGGTTTTACAGGGTGGGCTGAATTGCATCTTGCAATGGGCCATCAAACCCTTGGTCCATATTCAAAATTTAGGGCTGAGAATAGTCCATATTGAACCACAATTTTCGGTCCAACTAGTTTGGTCCAATCTGGGTCAAATCGGCCTAGGGTTTGGTGTCTATTGCAAGATCCAATTCAAGATTATGATCAAAAAAATAAAGAAACTGAGCAAGATAATCAAGATCAACAAGAAACGAAATTAGAGGGCTGTCGTGTGATAGTCTTGGATAATTTGCAAACCTGCAAGAAACAAATTAATTGCAGAAAGCAGAATTGATTTTTGCAAATCGTAGATAGAAAATCTTGTATCTACGGAAGGTCTTCTTCTCCTCTGTGCACTTTCAACAATTCTTCGGATGTAAAAATAAAATAGAAAACTCTAATTTTCTATTATTACATCAAATCAAATTCTATACAATTTGTCTAAAAATAAAAAATTATTTATAGACCAAATTGAATAGAATAAAATAAATAGGGTGCGCATCACTTGGCACCAAAAAGATTTCGATCTCCACCACACGTGCAACCCAAAATTCAAGAAACATCCACAGAACAATTCCACAGATATAACAGAATAATAAAGAATTTATCTTTCAGATCATACGCCCAAAACTGGGTACCGATTCCCAATAAAACTGCAAATTACACAAATCGGGTAGAATACCTTCTGCCCATTTGCGCAAATCTAGATCTGGTCTAAATTTGGTTCAAAACTTGAACCTGGCTATGATACCATTGAAGGGATGGGAGATCCATCATATGGATGGCCGAGCCATGAAGGGTGGCTGGGCGAAATTTCAAAAATTTCTTTCTCCCATCCGAGAATCCTATTCCCTAATTTAGAAAAATTGCATTTTTCAAGGTTCGTTCTTGAAACAAACCAACCCAAATCTAAAACAAAAAGGAAGCAAGTAGGGATGTACCTGATACGGAATAGCAGTAACTCCCAACATAGGTGTTCACGCCCAAAGAAGTTACCAAATCCGCCTCCACTAAAGATGACACAGTGAATTTTGAGGAAGGATCAGCTAGAAGGGTTCTTCAACAAGAACCTATGATTTTTCACCAAGAATCGTGTAGGGTCATGTGAGCACGACTTCAGATTGTTTATTCACCAAGAAACAATATCAAGAATAGTTCTTGATCACTCCAAGAGGTGGAGGTCGAACTAGGCAGGGCAGAAAGAGTAGAGGGAGAAAAAGATTACAGAAAAGAAGTGATCTTTCTGTAGAATTCGCCCCCTTATTTATAACCTTCCTTGGATCGGCTTCTTAATCCAATTAGGAATGAGTTTCTTGATCCAAATATGATATTTGGATCTGGACTCTCAAGTGGATAAGAGTTATCTTATCCAACTGCTAATCCTAATTAGATGATTATAAACCCAAATTTGCCCATTTAATTAAATCACTTAAGCCCAGTTTGAAATGGGCCTTAGGCCCATTAAGTCACATTGCTCACTTAACCCTTTAAATGCTGGCTAGTTTGGCTCTCTTTGTATGGTGTGTGACCCTAGAATTGATCTACACATCAGCCACATGGGTTCAACCTAGCCTTTGTTACAAGGCCTGGCCGAATTCACTACAGAACACAGTGAACCTCTAAGTCCATCAGTATGGGCTCTCAATGGGCCCAACATTTACATTAAATGGTCCTTGGGTCCAGCCATCTTGTGAAGGCCCAAGGACTGTGGGCAGATGCAAGATTAGCCCATCAGGTATAGCCCTGAATGGTCTTACACTTAACCTTTCAGCCCATAATGATCAAACATTGCTCGACAAGAAAGGACCTCTCCCTCGGCTGCAAGGACAGTGTTGCACTCGATACTCACATGAATCCCGAGAATTAAAACCTTTTGCAAACATTTTGTGAAACCATACTATATATGTATATCTCTATATAAATATATTTTGCAAAACAAATCTCAACAATTTGAAATCAATTGCCGGTAGTTTAGGTTTTCATCAAAGAGAGTGCATTCCCCGATCATTCACTTTGTCCAACAAAGGGGTTGATCCTGTCACTATGATCATCTACTCAGGTGAACTCTCGGATTGCCCCAACATACCTAGGTTTTGACCCAGTCAAGGATTTCACTAATTGGCATATCAAAGACAGCCCAATCCGACACCTAGTGCAATACCATAATCGAGTCTAAGGGTCAGGTGTAACATTTCAGTTTTGTCCATCTGTCTCCAAGGTCCGATTTAGGGTTTCAAAAAAACCCACACTACATGTACCTCATGTCTCACCCTGGCAGCTGAAACAAGCCACCTCAACACACTTAGTGGCACATTAGTATCAGTCTTGGTAGGATAAATCTTCCTAGGTCTATCCAACGGCTGTGAACATTCTAAACTAACACAAGTCTTATAAGTGTCTAGTTTAAGGGTATTACACAAAACACACCAAAATAACACGAATCAATTATGCACTTAATTCATTTACAATAAGTGTCAATAAGTACATCAATCTGATTGGAGCTAAGGGCATAACTCTCTAACACAATCAACCTTCGGCTCAAAAGCAAAGTTACATTGTTGCCCTTAACCCATTAAGAGCAGCAACAAAACCTTTGTTTGGTTTTAATATTTATGAAAAAAAAAACATTAAAAAGTAAAAATGCTTGGATTGATGTGCATGAGCCATCGGAGAAACATCAAGTTTTGTTTCTTTCCCAACAGCCCAACATTTATTGGAATGCAATGCTTACCTAGAGCTGATGTGGCATCTTACATGGAAGGGCTAAGAAATGATCCTGTGCATTACAGATCCATCTTGCCCCTATTCCTTGTTTATCATCTTGTCATTGTTAGGATGTTGGTTATGAGCCATTGGACGTGATTTGCACGAAGGATCGACCATTAAATCTCAATTTCCACCATTAAATACATGTATGAGTACTCTAAACCGTTAGATGAGCATGATGGCACTCCAACATAGCTAAATAGTGTCACATTGGGTCGTTTATAGGGTAACCAAACAGCAAAAATGAAAAAAAAAGTTTAGGGAAGATGATCAATACCCCAGTGTTAGAATTTGTAGGTTCAAAGTACATTTAAGGTAGGTGCCAACTCAGAATTAATGCCAATTCACGGGTGGGTATGAGTGCATAAGGTGTGGTTTTTGGACGTTTTGAATGTTTATAATTGTGCGGTGCGAATCAGAAATCTGCATTGGGTGTATCCGTACTCTTCTGAAAAGTTTATGATAAGCTGACGTGGCAGATGACTTTATGGGTATTACTTGACAATAAAAAACAATAAAAAAGTAATATTTTTCAAAAAATATTTATATAAAAACATCCGATCTATATAAACACCCACGGAAAATATCCAATCTATAAACATTCATATTACATCTGTTTTTCTGCATAATTTCAAATTGATTTGTTTTGACTCTCCACTCTTCTTTTTTTGGAAAATTGCAAGAAACCCAAAAATAAAAGAGAAAAACATTCGGATAATAAAAGAGGTTGTGGATGAGGCTGTTGCTGGTGTGGAAATTTCTGCGCCAGCACTTTCTCCATAGTGATCAAAGAATGAAAGAAAAACAGGGAGCTCAGTGTATGTAACTTGCTCTCTCTCTCTCCGTCGTTCGTGTATGTGTTCATCATCCTTTAATTTCGAATGTGGATCTCCACAATTTCATCTTCATCTCTTATTGATTTTTTTTCCTCAGTTCCCAATAACTTACCGAAAAATTCAGGATTTTTTTGACCTCTCTGTCCTTGTATATTTTCATACCAAAAAACTCGAAACCCTATCTGAAAACACATCATGATTGCTTTCTTGTCAGTTCATAATCCAGGAAGCAGTAGAAATTAATTGATTCATTTTTGCACTTCAGAACGCACTTAATAATCCCTAGCTATGGTAGCTCTTCTGCATTCTGTGACTCCTCTCCCAACGCCAGCTTCAGACGCTACAAGAAAACCATGTTGCTTCTTCTCTCAACTCCCAAATCTCCATAGTCTTTCACTTAACAACGGTTTCTCTAGGGTTTTAGCCGCTACCCATGTCACAATTCCTTCAAAGGAAACTGTTTTCACTCTACCCAGTTGGAGGAATGTGAAAAATGATCCGAAAACCAGGGAACTTAAACTCAATGACGCTTTTCTGTACTTGGAATACATGGTGGAGAAGGGCCATAGGCCTGATCTAGCTCAATCCACCCAACTCTTATATGATCTCTGCAAGTCCAATAAGATTAGGAAAGCCATTAGAGTTATGGGCATTCTGGTTAGTTCAGGTAACACGCCAGATGTAGGTTCTTATATTTTCTTGGTGAATCAGTTGTGCAAGAGGGGAAATGTTGGATATGCAATGCAGTTAGTTGAAAAGATGGAGGAATATGGTTTCCCACCCAACACCATCACATATAACTCACTTGTTAGAGGCCTTTGCATGCATGGGAACTTGCAAAAAAGCTTTCAACTTCTGGATAGATTGATGCAGAAAGGGCTGGTCCCAAATGTATTCACCTACTCATTCTTGCTTGAAGCCGCTTACAAGGAGAGAGGCGTAGATGAGGCAATGAGGCTCTTGGATGAGATAATTGCTAAGGGTGGAAGGCCTAATTTAGTTAGCTATAATGTTTTGTTAACCGGGTTATGCAAGGAAGATAGAATTGGGGAAGCTATTAAATTCTTCAGGGATTTACCTATGAAGGGATTTAATCCGAATGTAGTGAGTTATAACATCTTGTTGAAGAGTTTGTGTTATGAAGGACGGTGGGAGGAGGCAAATGAGCTCCTGGCCGAGATGGATGGTGAGGATCGAACCCCATCTTTAATAACTTATAATATCTTGATTGGTTCACTTGCACTCCATGGCCGAACTGATGATGCTTATGAAGTTTTGGTGGAGATGCTGAGGAACAGGTATAAACCCAATGCTGCAAGCTACAACCCATTAATTGCTCAGTACTGTAAAGAGGGAAAAGTTGATCTTGTAGTGAAGTGTTTAGACCAAATGATGTATAGGCACTGTAGTCCTAATGAGGGGACATATAATGCCCTTGCAGTGCTATGCAAAGAGGGTAAAGTGCAGGAATCCTTCTCCATACTCCAAAGCTTGGGTAATAAACAAAACTCCTCCATGCATGACTTCTACAGGAATGTTGTATCAAGCTTGTGTAGGAAAGGAAACACTTTAGCTGCATTTCACCTTTTATATGAGATGACTAAGAGTGGTTTTACTCCTGATTCCTACACCAATTCATCCTTGATAAGAGGTCTGTGTTTGGAAGGGATGCTAGCTGAGGCAATGGAGATATTTACAGTAATGGAAGAGAATGATTGTAGGCCTGATATTGACAATTATAATGCCCTTATACTTGGGTTATGCAAGGCTCAAAGGACAGATCTATCACTGGAAGTGTTTGAGATGATGATTGAGAAGGGCTATATGCCAAATGAGACTTCCTATACTATTTTAGTGGAAGGCATTGCCCACGAAGAAGAAATCGAGCTGGCAGCAGAGGTACTGAGAGAGTTGTACCAGAAACATGTCCTGAGTTGGAATACTGTAGAAAGACTTGTGATGCAGTATGACCTATAAGCAAAGAAGTCTGAGTACAGAAAAGAAGATAAACCTGATGTAGAGTTGATCCCACACAAAATGATTGGGTAAATAAATTCTGGCTCTTTCGATCGAGATGGGACTCCAACAAAGGATTCTAGATAGTGATGGAGGATTATTACAGAATGATGTAATGTCATGATCTTGATTCTGGTCTTAACTTTTAAAATAGTTTGAGACATAAAAGTATAAAGATCATTCTGCAGGTGAAATTTGATCTCTTGCTGCATGTACGCTACTTGGATTTATGAATTGATGATCTGAGTATGAGATTAAATATGTATAATCTCCCTACCCAATGCAACCTATCTATATGTATTATCTTAAATTGCCCAAACCAAGTTATTGTTTTTTCATAGTTTGTATGATTGATTAGGTTCACCTTGAAATCATTTTGTTTAGACATGAAAAAGAAGATTTCATTCAGTTTTTGCCAACCCCTGTGTAACTAAACATCTTGTTGCATTTATTTTCAGTTATTTCATCCTTCAAATTTACATTTTAAATTTTGCAAAGGCAGTTTGTTCTGACATGTTTTGATATTGACATGAGTATGAAGCAAATATTAGTGTGATAGTAACAGAAGGAATGCAAGGTTTTTATACAGTTTATTTCCTTTTATTTGCGAATTTCTAACTTATAATAGAGGACCATGATAGTAAGTTGCCTTGTAAACCTGTCAAGGGCAAAGTATCTCAATTGAAAACTTCAAGTGCTAGCATGCATGACCTGATTAATGATCTATCACAGCAATTAAACAATAAATCCATTCAGATTTTGTCAAGACCCAAAATTTCTAAGATTTTCTACGACAGTATCCCTGTTTTTCAATTTAGTTCTACCATCTCAATCTGTTATTTCACAAGTCTGTTCCCAACTTTCATGTCATAGAATCTCTGTTTCTCCTTTCTCTTCCTCTGAAAATTTTCTCCACACCCTTCTTAGTGCATGTTTGAGATACCTCTGTTTATTCTTTTCATTCTTCTTAGATTCCATTCCGCATGCTTTCAAAATCATAATTGTATCGTAAATTGTAGAGAAAGTTGAAATGAATTGAATCGTGAATCTTACGTAAATCATAAGAATTATTTCTATTTTTTAACACGTATAAAAAAATTATATATATATAGGAAAGTGACTTTACCCTATTTTAATCTATATTTACCATATATGTACTTAAAACAATAGAATTTACCACTTATATAATAGAAGCCTAAGATGATATAATCAAGTTTGAATGAAAATCAAACAAATCTACATACAATGGCCCTTTAACTTACATATGATAGAAAATATACTCAATTTCTATGAATAATGTAAATAAACCATTTTCTAGTAGGGCTTTAAAAAAGTCTCCCATGGCAAAACTAAACAGAAACAAAAAAAAGCAAAGTAGAGAACTAATTCTTAATAGAATTTATTTGAATCGTAGTGAATCGTAAGATTTATGAATCGTAGTGAATCGTAAGATTTATGAATCAAATTGTAGGATTCAAACAAAAATTGTAAGATTTTTGCAGAAAAGGATTCAGACATAAGATTTGAATTGAAACCCTTAAGATTCATGATTCAAATCGTGAATCGTATCGTAAATCGTAAGATTTTGACAACAAATCCGGAGGCTTTGGTCATTAGGCTCCCAAGCACTTTTCTTCAACCACAAATGTTAATTATTAGTATCTAATGAAATGATACCTGTTAATTATCAAAAAAGTGACAAGCCAAAAGTTCTCACTCAATTCTTCAAAGGAAATTAAGAAGTTGAGAACACTTGTGCATGATATTTTAAGTTAGGAGGTGTTTGCTGACACGAACTAACTTCTATGGTGCAGTTCCCATAAAACTGGACCCCACAGCGTCATTTCAATTTCAATGTTTTTCAGGAATCACAGAATCATCAGTTTTCTTCATGGACTGATCCTCATTTTGTCAAGATTAGCAGAAGAGAGTGAATATGGGGCCAACAGAGTTAAATTTATTTTCAATTTTCAATGTTTTAGAAATTAGAATGATTTAAAATCTACTTGAGAATTCACATATTGGAAAACTGGTTTTCTGTAATTCTGAATGATTCATATATCAGAAATCACAGAAACCTAAATCATTCTTGTTGGAGAAAAAGACCACCTTAATTTGTGAAGAAGAAATTTGGAATCTCAGAAAAACAAATAGGAGCATGGGCATTTTGGTGGACCAGTACCATATTGAGATGAAATGCTTCTTGTTAAATTTTAGTTGAATGTTTTTCTTGAATTCTATTCAGATGACAATTACAATGATTGTGCTGAAGTATAATTTGTCTTTTTTACAAATTTAGTGTTGGATTTAGGAGAAACTTTCATCTTCCTTGTTTTTTTGTAAGTCTGATAGACTTTGCTGACTATAGTGATGAACCTGACACATTAATATAACTTATTCAGTGGGGAAACTTTTTCCTCCTACTTTGAGTTTCCCTGTTGAGTATAGGTGAGATAGAAGGCGTGAAATGAGATTCCCTTGCTACAGTTTGCAGACGACTTGGTTTTCTTCTGAAATGTTTAACGGGAGAAACTTGATTTTTTGATGGCAACATTATGGTGGTTTGAAGTAGTCTTTGGACTACATTTGAATGTGCACAAAAGTGAGCTGGTTGCAGTAGGTGAGGTACAAGAATTACAAAGCTGGGCTGATTCATGGGGTTTCAAAGTGGGAAAGTTTCCTTTAAAATATCTGGGAATGCCTTTGGGAGCTAAATGTAATGCTAAATCTATATGGGAGCTAATAGTGGAGAGGATTGAGAAAAAGCTGGCTGGATGGAAAGCAAGGTACCTGTCAAAAGGGCTCACAGTTTAGAAGAGCTCTAAATGATTGGGAAATTGAACCTCTTGGGCAACTACTTCAGAAATTGTACAGAATGCAAATAGATTTTAATTCAGAGGACAGAAGGGTGTGGACAGCAGATCGAAAGGGTCAGTTTACAGTAAAATCTTTTTATTATAAACTGACCCAAGAGGATGAGCAGGATGTCCCTTGGCATGTAATCTTGAGTAAGTTTATCCCTTCAAAGGTAGCTTTCTTTGTTTGGTCTGCTTATCTGAACAAGATTCCTACAAAAGACAACCTGATTAGGAGGGGAATGGTGATTGACTTACCTGTTTGTGTGTAAAGTAATGGAGTAGAAGAGTCAGCTGACCACCTGTTGCTACATTGCAGTTTTACATACAATATATGGTTGAAAATATTTAGAATTTTTGCCATTAAGTGGTGCTGCCCTGCATCAGTGGAAGCTTTTGTAAAAGGTTGGTGGACACATGGTCTGAGTAAGAGAGGGAAAATGCTATGGCAAATGGTCCCAGGAGCAGTCTACTGGTCAATCTGGCAGGAAAGAAACTCAAGGCTCTTTTGAAGTAAAGGTTGTCAAGAAGAGGAAGTGTGGCAAAAAATAGTTGGAAAACTGTTATCCTGGTCATCTGCACATCTATCAAGAAGCAGCGTTCCCTGTAGTTCTCTCTTTCTTTTTGAAAACCTTTTTGTAATGACAAATGGGGTAGTGGTTTAATGTTTATTTTGTATTCTCCATTGTATATAGCCTCTGGTTGTACATGGGTTTCCTTTTCCTCCTCTTCTCAGGAAAAAAAAAAAGAAAGTGTGAAGCTATAATCAAGGTGGTGGCCTAAGATAAGTGGTCACCCACGCCTGACAACAAACATGCCATGTAGACAACGGCAATAGCAACTTGCTATTTGCGAATGATGAAAGGACTTCATTCCTGATATGGGATCTTGTGCAAGCATAAAAGGGGTTATAGTTAGAAACATGACCACATGAGTCTTAAAGGATAGGAAACTCCCATCCCAAAAGATCCTCATTGGACACATAGTGAAACCTCGACAGAGTTTGCCTAATAAACACCTCGTAGATCATGATCACCTTCATGAAATATGAAGATCACCTCCTCGACGTCTCTCTTTTCAGCCTTGGCTATTCAACTATAAAAGGAGGAAACCCCAAGCCCCTAGGGACATGAGATTACCTCTAAACATAGATTCCTTACTAATTTATAGACCTCTTATCAATAACCTTCCCCTTTTTCATAAACTCCTAGTCATCCTCTATCTTTTAGGGAGACCAACTTCTCCCTGCCTTACTGCCCCACCTACATTTGAATCTCTAGTTCTATCCTTGATCATGGAGATGGCTGAGAATCAATCTCACTCCCATCCAAGAGGAACTCATTGAAAATGAAGAAGTTCCCCTAATGAAGAAACTGAGATCTTGACTCCCCAAGAATCCAGTGAGTGCATGAACATAGAGATCCTGTCCTACAAAGCCTGAGTTCAGAGGTTTTTTCGAATGAATGGAACAACAATAGGTTGTGATGAGACAGATGCTACAATTGTTCTTGCAACAAATGACCACACCAGAAAACCCACCATTCACCCCAATTGGCCTGACTGTCGAACCTACGGCGTACCCCAAGCCCACTGTGACCAAACCAACCGAGCCCCGAGCCTATAATGTCCATGATTCCGCCTTCTCTATAGGAAACGGGGGTCGTGCTTCCCACTTCTCTGCCTAAGCCTTAGCAACTTTAGCTGATGAAATGAACCCTCCCCCTTCTGAAGTACCAATAAGTAGGGCCGAACTCTAGGAATACATCCAAGGCTTGGTAGAGGTGAGCCAGAACAATACCTGGCCTTCCATACTTTTGTTGAAACCCTACTCCAACAAAATCCTCCACAAACCCTACCCAACCAGATACACCCCACCACAACAATGACCCTTATACGATGAACAGAGAGGTAGCCCTCCGGAGCATATAAGCAAATTTAAGGACTCATTGGGCCCCTTCACCTTCAACCGAAACCTCAAAGTTTGAGAGTTTTCTTAATCTCTAACTATTGTTGCGTGGGTTGGCTGAGGGCAACAAGGTAAATTCACCCTTCAAGTTCCGAGCGTTAGCCAAGGACCTCGAGGCCTTGGAAGAGGTTGACCGAAGCTAAGGGCGGCAAGCTGAAGTGAGCAAGGACTGCTAGTCGAGACAGGGTCCCCGGTGATGAGAGATGCTGCAAGACATGAAGTGTCAGAGACCTCGGGGTGGATACCCGAGGTGGAGGCTCCGATGCTTAAGTTAGTAAGAGGTGTGAAGTAGGGGAGAGTGCAAAAGTGCTCCTGAAGAGAGTCTTCGGATGCACCAGATCTCCCTGAATTAATGCTAGGTAGACAATGTAGGTGCAGGAAGTAAATGAGTGAGTGATGTTAGAGTTACTCCATTCCAGCCCCTTTTAAGGGGCAGTTACCTCTTATTTATACTGAAGCATGCTGGTGGTAGGTGAAGATGAACGCCTCGGATGAGAGTCGTACAAGGTCAGGCCGCAGGCCCTGGCGGTACGCTAGATAGTTATGAGATTGGCTCCGTACGAAGGCAGTAGGGCTCTCGCCTATTGTGGCTGACGTT